CTTTTTCCAAGTCTTTCCATTTCCTAACAAAAGGGGTGGTGTCATTCTTTCTGATGGAGGCATAGAATTCCATTGTACATATGCACCACATTTTCTTGATCCATTCATCTACTGAGGGGCATCTGGGTTGGTTCCATATCTTAGCTACGGTGAATAATGCTGTGATAAACATAGTAGTGTTGGTAGCTTTAGCATGGTCTTGTTTGTGGTCATTTGGGTCAATGCCCAGAAGTAGAACTGCTGGGTCATAGGGGAGCTCTATGTGGAGTCTTTTGAGGAACCTCCATACTTCTTTCCAGAGTGGTTGAACAAGTTTACACTCCCACCAACAGTGTGCAGTAGGGTTCCCTTCTGTCCACATCCCCTCCAGCATCTGAACAACATTTTAAAAAGGAGCGACAATCCTGTGACCCAGTATCTCCCCATGGCTAGCTAGCAGGAAGGGATGGTGAAGCAGCCACTGACAGATCTTAAAGAGCTATCAAAGCAAGCTGATGGCTGGTGTCTCGTTGTAAAGCCTCAGCTTTCAAAGAACCAACATCCAAGGCCTGACGCAAAACTGCTTCAGAACCTATTTCCCCGCCTTTTCTCCTTCTTGATTTTGTCTCCAAGTATAGCCCAGACTGACCTTGAACTTATGACCTTCCTACCTCAGCCTCTCTAGTTCCAGGAGTGAAGGCAGGCACCACCATATCCAGCTTACCTTTCCAAACGGAACCTTTATGTGTGGCCATTGAGCTAACCGCTTAGAAGCCAAAATGTACTTTAAAGTGTAGAGTGTGAATGTGTGGCTTTGCTTGTGCAAGAATGTGCCCTGAGTGAATGTGGCTCTGTGTGTGTGTGTGTGTGTGTGCATGTGTGTGTAAGAGAGAGGGAGAGACTGAGTGGCAAGCGTGTGTATGAGTGCATGTCTCAGAGTGACGCGTGCTCACGTGTGTGAGCATATATATGAATGTGAATGGGGCTGCCTGTGCTCACTCATCTAAGTTCTCAAGGGCTTCAGAAGCTAAGGCTCAGGCAGCTCAGGAAGTACAGCTCATTTTGGTGGCAGATTTTGACTTCATGAGGAGTTGGTGGACTGGAACTGTAGGGGCTGTCTAACCAGCACCCACCCGCTTCTGACCCCCACAACATCCAGATCACGACACAGAGTGTCTGAAGGACCACCCCCTGGGCGAGGCCTCTCTGGAATAGGAGAGCACCCACTGCTCTAAAGAGACAGGGTCACTGTGAAGGAGCAAACTCCATGTATGTCGCTTAAGGAAGCGACATGTAGTCTACCTGAGAAAGCCAACAGCACAGCATTTTGGTTGAGTCTTTTTGTTGTTGTTGTTGGTCGTGGGGCTTGAACTCTGGGCCTGGGAGCTGTCCCTCAGCTCTTCAGCTTAAGGCGAGCGCTCTACCACTAGAGCCACAGAACCACTTCTGGTTTTCTGAGTGGTTTATTGGAGATAAGAGGCTCATGGAATTTCCTGTCTGGGCTGGCTTCCAGGCATGATCCTCAGATCTCAGCCTCCTGATTAGCTAGGATTACAGGTGTGAGCCACCGACACCTGGCTTGGTTGAGTCTTTAATCAATCAAGGTTACCTGCCTGAAGGCCAGCTGAGGAAGATTCTGGAATCAGCATTCCCTCAGCCTGTTCTCCCTAGTACTAGGGTTTGAACTCAGCCTGCAGCTCTCTCGGGTTACTGCTCAGCTCTCCATCTCCAGTCCAAGTCTTTGGAAGTTATTTAGGATATGTAGTCTCATGGGCTTTTCAGTCTGGGCTAACTTTGAACTGCAGTCCTCCAGATCTCCGCCTAGGAGACAGGACTGATAAAGGAATGACAAAGCACCTCGCTCCCCTTGGCTTTCTAACTAAACCCAGTATGCACTTACTGCTCAAATGAAGGACACACAAAGAAGAGAGAACACATGTGATCATGTTCTAGTTTATTGTAAATTTAGTGAGCAAACAGAAATTATAAACCATCTCAAGAGTCCATGAAAAACAGATGGGAGCAGAGTGGCCCCTTCTCTCCCTCAGGCTAAAAAGATACTTATCATCATCATCATCATCATCATCATCATCATCATCATGTACTCCCAAAGTTTTTGCCTAAGTAGGTTATGGGAGATTGTCATTCAGTTTGTTTTACAGATTACACTCTGATCTAGGCACCAGGGCACATGGCTGTAATCCTAGTTACCTGGGAGATTGCAATTAGAAGGGCCATAGTTCAAAGATCGACTGGGGGAATAGTATATGCGAGTCCATGTCAATGGAAAAAGTAGGCATGGTGATAGGCACCCATCATCCAGCAAGGGAAAAGTAGTAAGTAAAAAACAGGAAAATGGTGGTCCAGGCTGATACCTGAACAGAATGAGGCCCTTAAAAAATCTCAAAAACAGTCAGAGGCCTGATTCAATGGTAAAGCCTATTGAATGTAAGATCTTCACATTCAAATCAAAGACAAATCTGTAAAGTATTTCAATGTCCTTTCTGTTTCTTGTTTGAAAGTCTGCACTACCTCATTTTTCAAAGACTATATTATTTCTACACTGAACATATGTTTTTCAATTCTGATATGTCAGACTTGTGCAAGAGACATTATATAGTGTTCTGTTTCAAACATATACTAAGATTTATTGTTAACATGGGCCTACATACAGAAAACTACATAATTTCTGCAGATGATTAAGTTTCTCACCAAAAGCCATGGAGACCAGAATGAAGTAGAGTTGAATTTAAAAAAAAAAGCTACACAAATCCTGTCAATCTCCAGAACCATGTCCCCCCAAATCAGTCCCCAGAAATTGGGAAGCAATCAAGATACTCTCAGATACAAACATTGAGACCTCCAGGTATGAGGGAGTCTTTCATGTTGAAGTTCAGGTTCAAAGCTGTACAAAGAAAAGAAAACTCTGGTGAAGGTAAATTCATAGATGATAATGAAAAGCAGGACTCGTTTTGTTTTCTACCTGATGTAAGAGATTCATGTATCCCAGATTCCCAGAGAAGTATGTTTAAGATACCAAACCGGCAGAGATGGAAGCTTATGACCTTAGGTACTGGCAGGGGTGAGGTTGGAGCTGACTTAGCACTGAGGGCAGGCACTCAGGTCTTTTCTAGATAAGAGCGGTTTGCTCCTGTGTTCTTTATTGTAATTCAGAAGTCTTCTATGAAGTCCTCGGGTGAACATCCCAGCATCTGCCTGTATTCATTGTCACCTTGAGTTCTTGGAAGTTGAACGTGGAATTTCAGAACTTGATGGTAATCTTCCTCGTTTTCTCAGGGATCAGCAGGGAGGTGGGATATGAACTGGGAGAGGGACAAAGACGCAGTTTCAAACAAACTTGCGCTGATTTGTGGGACCTCTAGAGTTTAATGGCAGTGTCGTATGCCCTTTCCTGGGCAAGGGGAAACCAAGATTTTGAGCCGTTTTACCCACTGTCAGACACTGGCTGTCATGTGGACAGGTGCCGTGCAACCTTCCAGGCCCCTGGGTGATTTCCATGTGGTAAGCCCCAGGCCTGAGGCAGGAGACAGACTATGGTTCTTCCTGCCAGGCCCAGAAGGAGTCAGCCGCAAGTCCAGTGAAGCCAGAGAAGACAGGGCACCGTGAAGGGATTTCTCTGCCTACTGAGTCTCCCTAGAATATTGGAGGTCCAGCTCGCCCGCTGTCACACTCAGGGTTCCAAAGCCAGGTCAGGTACCAGATGTTGGACAAGTAAGGAAGGCAGTGGCGGGACCGCGAGTGAAATGTACCACAAGAATGACAACACAAAGGCTCCAAAGTGAGACTTAAGCAACCCAAGTGAGTTTAATCCAAATGCGGGTTTAGCACACGCTGTCCAGGTGGCCTCCTCTCCTCCCACCTCGTGCTTCTGGTTCTATCCTCTAGAGCATTTCCCATCTGGTACACATGGGTGGGGCCACCATACTCATCATGGAAGGCACACGCTGGCCTGCGGTGCTCTGTCAGACTGCCCTGGGCTGGATTGATGCAGGTGACAGGCCAGCCCAGGGGCATCAATCCAAGCACACCCCTCCTTAAACCTAAAATCTATGAAGACTCATCGAAGACATGTGGGGAAAAGGGTGATCGTCATGCAAGTGTTTGTTGAACTAGGAGAATCCTTAAAGCTGACGTGAGATTTCCCATGAATGAAATATTACAAGCTACAAAATGTCTTGCAAATTCACTTGTTTCATTTTCTGTGGCATATAAATTACATCGGTGTGTGTGAACTGTTGTCACGTGCATTTAGCAGGGTAGAGAAAGAAGACATACACTTCAAATCACACGTCTGTGAATGTAAATGATTATTTTAGCATTCACATGCTACACACAAATCTCATTCTCATCCTCAGATGATGCTAAGGATTTCCCCAAGACCCTCTTGTTTTATCCTGATCCTTGTAATCATGTGACCACTTTTCCCCTCATATGACTCAGTTCCCTCAGATCTTTCCTGCATACCTTTCCTGTGTTTGTCATTTCTTCCCCTGATTTCATACTCTGCCATCTGAACCTCCTCTGCCTATAGCTCAGTAGCTCAAGTGTATTGATTTTTTTTCCAGATTCTTTCTTGGTTTATTTCAGGCCAGGAACTATCATGGCAAGCTCCCTGTGGTGTCTTCAACACAAGAGCTAGAGCCTTCCCTAAACCATAAATGCCAAACAGTGCACGCACACGCACACCACTTACTTTATGATTTTGTTTATATGAAATGTTCTGAATCAGTGAATCCACAGAACAGAAAACAAATGAATGCTTACCAAATCCTGGGAGAAAGGGGTCATGAGAAATGATCTCACACACACACACACACACACACACACACACACACACACTTCACTAGAAAGCCACGTTAGCTTCAGTGAATGTAATTATAAAAAATTATCTCTATTAGGTAATCACCATGTGGAGACATTATGGAACCCCCCCTCCCCTGATTTTCTATACCTTCCTACTGACTACGCCATGGCAAAGAATTTTAGGACAAAACACAAAAGAAAATCAATAAAATACTATATTCATATTGGGTATTGACCAATTAGCAACACACAAGGTTATGTTTCAGATGTATTTATAATCAGTATCTTACACTAAAGTTTTATGGAGAGATATTCCATGTCAGTGAATTGAAATGATGTAGGCTGATGGCTCTACTGGTCACATTGATGCTTAGAACCTGTTAGAAATCAAAGAAAAAGTATAAGGCTTGAATTTTTTTATACCAATAAATCAGGTACAAGTCAATAATCCACATAACCCCACACTATTTTCATAAGGCATGGCCTCATTTCCAACTGCCCATCACTTTCTAGAGGAAGGAGTTTCCCAGGACAAAGATTATTCAATGACAAAGATGGGCCTTTCACCAGTATAACACATAACCACCAAGAGAAAGAGCAGCACTCACAAGCCAGAGAAAATCCCCTCTCCCATTCTTCTGAAGTTCAGTTTTCTTCAAAGCTCTCTTTATATTTGCTCTTTGTCTAAATTCTCTTCACACTCCTTGACTGCCTATGAAGGATCTAATATCCCTGCCTTTTCTACGTCTTACCATGTGCACAGGTGTTAGCCTGTAGATTAGTTTAACAGAATTAGGTGGACATCTTTTAAGAACTCACTTTTCGTAAAGTTGGAAATGGTTGACAAACCATCATCTGAGAAAGTAAATTTTTAAAATACAAAAATAAAGAAGAGCACTTCTTTTCAAGTCTAGAAAAGGGAGTTTTGTTCTGGAAAAGAAAATGTAAAAAGCCAGGTATGATGTCTCACACTTATAACCCCAGTACTCGGAAGGCTAAGGCATGAAGATTGTAAGTTCAAAGCTAACTTGAGCTACACAGTGCAATGCTACCCATTAAAGACAACATAACTTAAAAGTGAGCACATAGGAAACATGGTCCCACTTTCCACCAAGGTGGCAGGTGTCAGGACTAGAATACTGCATGAATTTCAAGGTGCCAGATTTTCACATGTTGGCATTCATGAAATCAAAATTATTTGTGAAATTTTAGCCCTAGAATGACCATGAGCCTGGAGATATCATGACACAAGGGCCACTATCTGTGTGCATGTACATCTCATTGCTAGTCTTAGAGTTAGCAGTGGATGGACTGCAGCCATCAGGTAAAGATGATGTGCGGAAGGAAGACGTAGTGAGATGAGGAAAGCATGTGGATGGAGACTTCAATAAAGCTTGTGAAGTGATTTGGGAGAAACTCTAATAGGCACTAGTGGAAGAATCTCTATGAAATACTGAATTGCCACTCCTGGCATACACACACACACATTTGGCAGTAGGAAGAGTTTGAACTCAGAGTCTCATGCTTGTGAAGCAAGTGTTCTACCATTTGAGCCACAACTCCCAGCCTTTTTACTTTTGTTTTTAGCTAGCCTATTATGTTTTTTTGCCTGAGCTGGCCTTGGACTGTGATCTTCCTAAATCTGCCTCTCCAGTAGCTGGGATTATAAACATGTACCACAATGTCCAGCCAGCATCATGTATTTTCCTTCTAAATAATATAGACAGATATAGATAAAAAGGTGATTTTAAGAATCTGAATACATTTTTGTATAATTAAGGGAAAAGATGTGCTATACCTGTTTTCAGTTAAGGTTATTTTAATACTTCTCATTCAGCTTTTACCTCTTCTAAACTACTTGGATATAGAATTATTATTGCATCTTTTCTTATTGTATATTTTCATCTGCAGTATCACTTAAAATAGGAAAAATATTTAGATAAAACTCTAATGTTCACAGAAGCCTCAAACAACCTTATGAAAGTTTTAAAGTTCAAAAATTGAGTGATACACTGGGTGTGGGTGGCTCACACCTGTAATTCTAGCTACTCAGGAGGCTGAGATCTGAAATCGCGGTGCCAAGTCAGACTGGGCAGGGAAGTCATGAGATTCTTATGTCCAATTAGCCACCAGAAAACTGGAACTCATGCTGTGGCTCACAGTGGTGAAGAGCTAGCCTTGAGCAAAGGAGCTCAGGGAAAGCGTCCAGGCCCTGAGTTCAGGCCCCATGACTGACAAAAAATTAAAATTAAAAAAAAATTCAGTGATACTAAGGAATTATTTCATAGCTTTGGCATCCTTTTTTTCTTTCTGAGTGGCATGTGAAATACAAGAGCAATCTTGTAATTGATAAAATATGTCAGTTTAGGTTGTTTGGGATGTTGATTTCCAAAGTTTCCACACAGGAAGTAAACACAGAAAAAAAAAACTCCAAATAAGAAAGTATGGCATTTCCCTCACCTTAGGAAAGGTTTTGCAAGAGAGGACAGCTTAGGCACTAAATGCCTGGGGTTGGGAAATAGCAGTGGGCCTGTCTGTGGTCACAAACCTGTGCAGCAGGGTCGTATTCAAAGGGGATTGCTGAGTTCGTGTTATTTTCAGTGATGCTCACGGAGGTTACGGAGATGCCGCCCACTCCCCAGATTTCAATATAGCCCAGCTTCAAAGGGTTGGTACCAGTGATGTAATGGTTGGAAATCACATCCATCTGCATTGTATTCTGTCAAATTGAAAATAAAAAAGAAAGGAAAATATAACAAAAGGAGTTCCTTTTTACTCCTCATCTTCTTTTTAGGCATCAATGTAGAGGATTGGGTGAGATAACCTCAAATAATCACCCTGCGGCCCTAGAGGCTACTGTCTACGATTTCAGCACTGTTTCTCTGTTAACAGCCTCCATTCCCTTTATGCTCACAAGACACCTGCAGGGTTAGTGTTGCTTTGAAACCAATAGCAGACAGTTTCCACTACCAAGAAACGTGTTCCACATATAGAGAAGTCACAGAAGTGCAGCCCATTCAACAAAGGAACAAGGGCTAGACAATACAGAAACAGTGTATACAGCTGCAGAATGGCAAAAAAGGAAAGATGACTGGTAAGACATAAGTAGGCTCAGACACAGAAAACATTCTGGGAGCACAGGGAATCTCCATCTGAAGTCTGGTAGAAGGGAAGGGTGTGAATTAGAGGACAAGCAGTGGAGATGTCTAGGTGATATGTTGTGCCCTTATAACCTGCAGCATCCTACCGTCCTGAGAAAACTCGATTCTCACTACATGGTGACAATCACACTTACCTGGCTGACAGAAAAGCGGGCCAAATAATACTGTCCATTTCTGTAGGTATCTGCAAAACACAACAAGATAAATATAACCTGAGCCTGGTGATAATATGCTAATGGGATACTTGTCTTAGTTGAAAGATTAGGCTTTATTTTTGTTTTGTTTTAATCTTTACAGAATTTCATTTTATAATGTAAACTCTCTTTCTGGAGAATAATTTACACCCTGTACTCAGCCTCAGTTGACAAAACATCTGAAGTGAGTGATGGATGTGTATTTCTGATAGTTGCTTTATAAAAATTTCCTAACCCTCTTGATTGATCTCTTCACCCTGTGGTCTACCACCCCATCATCCCAGTTGCCTGAGAATTTCTGGATTCCTTGCCCTAAATGTCCACCTAAAAACAGGTGTAGTCATCTACACATACACTAAGATCAGTACCTCAGGGGGATTAAGACTCCATGGATATTTGCCAACTCTTAAGACGTGATCACCCAGAGAACTTAGAAAAACCCTGTTTGTGTCCACTAATGAATGCATGCCATGGGCACCGGGTGAGCGTGGAGCTTCCCATGTCCAGTGAAGGTGGACTGGTCAGGCACTTGGCCCTTCCCCACCCTCATGACTTGGTCTCTCTTCCCCATGTTCCAACCTTTCTCTTTAACTCGCTATTTCCCATTTCCCCAGGGGCCACAGGCTTAGTATCTCTAGATCAGATCTGTCCATGACAGTAGCCATCAGAAAGATGTAGCAATGTAAATTCAATTTTACTTAATTAATTTATTTAATTTAATGACTTAAAATTATATAAGATAAAAATTTCAGTTCTTCAGATGCCCTTGTCATAGTTTAAGCTCTGAGTAGCCCATCTACTGCATTGGATACCAGAAGAGAGATGATTCTCATCACTGTACAAAGTCCTACTGGACAACACTGGTCCAGACAGCTAATTATATGCGAGACTTCCTCTTGAAAGGTTACCAATGCCTGTAAAGTAAGGGAAATACCTCCCAACAAATGGCACAACTGAAAGACACTGTCTTTCTGGGACAATAAACTATATATACAATACAGAAAACTGCCTTTGATCACAAATCATATGCAAGGCATCTTAGCTGGCAACGAACAAACATCCCTTTTATTCTATTTTATTCCACAATAAAATAAAATAGTTGAGCCAGGCACCAGTGGCTCATGCCTGTAATCCTAGCTACTCAGGAGGCTGAGATCTGAGGATCACGGCTCAAAGCCAGCCTGGGCAGGAAAGTCTGTGAGACTCTTATCTAAACCTGAAATGGTGCCATGGCTTGAAGTGGTAGAGCTCCAGCCTTGAGTGAAAAATCTCAGGGACAGTGTTCAGACCCAGAGTTCAAGTCCTACGACTTATAAAAGAAATAAAATAGTTTGATAACAGAGATTCAGAATGAATTTGCATGATGCATAAGGATCATGAAAAAGATGGATCTACATTTAAAGTAGCAAATTATTATGTTTTTAAAAACAAAATTGCATTAATCTGGACAATGTAAAAGCAGGCTCATAAAATAGCCAAGAATCTCATGAATGGACTGGCATAAACCTCAGGCAACCCCTGCTTACCAATGCTTTGCCCATCATCCCAGAAGAGCCAGCCCTCAGCCGTTCCTTCGCTATCCAAGGCAACCTTGAAGCCCAGAAATTTCTGGCGGCTGAAATAAAATGGAAGAGAGTTGTTAGCTGCAAACAAGGCCACAGTCACTAGCCACAAAGACAAAGTAGCAAAGCCGTGCTTCCTGGGTAAGGGTAGAGCCCTGGGATTGAAGACATCTGTGATTCTAGCCAGGGTTCTGTCTCCATGTAGCCACGCGACTCTGTTTCATGTATGAATGAAGTTGTGACTGAATTATGGGGTTCAAGGCAAACTAACTTGCTTCGCCTGACCTCTTTGAGAGGAAAACCCTGAGAATGCAAATCCTTGTCCTTCATGACCCAGTTCCTAAAACACATGCAGTAGACTCTACCTATAAATATCCTAGGGCTTCAACTTTGATCTGCAGTGCTGTGTAAGGGAGTAAGATTTCAGGGATGATATGGACCGACATGGCTTTCAGAGTTCATCCACTTGCTATCTGTGTGGCTGACTGAAGCACTGAGCTTAGAAAGTGAAGAGGGACAACACAGTGCCTCTATGGGCCCCGTTCTAGGCCCAGACCAAGCACACGCTTGAGGTACATCACTGTCAATTACCATACAAAGATCAAGAAGTTTTAAATCTTCTGTATGAGGAATCTCGGTCCTAGGTGTCAATTGTAATATTTAGCTATTTTTCAGCAACAGGTTTTTTTTTGAGAGTCAAATAAGAGATTGTCTGAAAAAACTATCACCATGAATCATAATGTCCTAATTGTAGTTTCTCTTTTTAAAATGTCTACTTAGACTTATAATTCCACTAAATTACATGTTAATAATTACTCAGAATGCAGAGTTGAAGAGGGCTTAAAAGACAAAACAAGTGTTCAGTAAAATCACATTGGGCCTTGAGAGCAGAGTCTAGGGGATTGAGGTCTCTCCCTGCAACTAAGTGAGCAACCAGCATGCAAAGCACAGACCGGTCCCTCCACTCACCTGAGGTGGGTGTTCAGTGCAGGCTCCTGCCAGGGCAGGATGTGGCCCCCACGCACATGAAGATTGATGTGGTCCAGAGGTGCTGGCAGGACCTTCCACTCTCCGCTTGCATTGATTTGTGCACCCTGTGGGCCAGAGGAGGAAGGGATGGTGAGTGAGAGGTGACAGACCTAACCTGAGCAGCGCAGGTACCTGACATCTCAGCTGTCCTCTGGCCTTGCTGCCTGTCCCTCACTGTCCAGCACACACCTGGGACTACAATCTTGCATTCACCTGTTGCTGGGTGCAATCTTTGTTGTGTGAGAACCCCTAGGAATGTCAACAGCATGTCCTACATGAGTTCCTGGCATGCATCTCAGCCCACCCCCGCCCTCAGCTTGTTTTTGAGTCACAGAGCACTACTGAGGAGTCAGGAAATCTTTACTTCCTTGTGGCTCCTACACACATCCTTCAATAACAATAATTCTAGACCTTTACTTGCACCGAGAGTTAAAACTGAACCTCTATTTCCCCTCCTGCCCCACTCCATGCTCTCGGATGAACTAACATCCGTAGGAGATTTTGGTTCAGGTTGGCTCAGGCAAAAATCTGGAGGACCCTTGAAACTGACTAAAGTAAAAAGGGCAAGAAGCACAGCTCATGTGGTAAAACACCTGCCTAACAAGCCTGTGGTCCCAAGTCCAAATACCCAGCGCCACCAAAACAACGACTAAAAACAAGCAAACATTGGCCTTTCCCTCCTCAAAAAGCCCAGGCTTGGCTGGAGAGCACATAGCAGAGTTGTAGTGGATGAGGGTGAGTGGCAGGGTGTGACTCAGGACAAAGCAGAGAACAAACTCTACCTTCCTTGTCCACAACCAGTTTGCATTTAATCCCATGGCCATCTTTTGAATGACAAGGGGTTGCACAAATTCTGCCTGCTTTCCTATTGCAATTCCAGCCTGTCACTACCCCTGTCCCTCAAGAGACCGCTGTGATGGCTTCCCAAGGCTCTGTCCTGCAAGACACTCAGTAGAGAGCTCCTGTGGGCTCCTTGCATATAGTAGCACACGAGATGCACAGGCTTGAAATCTGAGTCCCTACCTCTGTGTACGTTTCCCCACAGACTTGTGGTATAGATAATTACATGATACATTTTTCCTTGATCACTGATATTACAGAAACAGACATTTGATGAACATCAGAGCATCAGAAGATGCTGTACTTGACAGACTTCCAACAGCAGGAGACACAGTCAAAGGCCACTTTACAGCACAATTTCAAGCTCCCAGAGGCTGCCTTTGAATCTCACAGGGACAGGTGCACTGTGTTACCTCAGAGCACTGCCTGCAGGAGCGATCAGTTTCATTCCACTCCAGGGGAGCATGCTGAGGCTGCAGGTGTAAAGTAACTTCCCAAGGCCACCACTTGGGATTTCCAGAGTCAGCATTTGGCTTGAGTTCTGGCAGATCCAAAACCTTTGTACTTTATCATTTCCCCAGGCTATCTAAATTTACTCAAGCTTACCGTGTAGAAATCGTACCAGCGGGCCCTAGGGAAATACGCTGTCACGTTTCTGGCATTCTGAAATTAAACACAAACAGTTTAGTCACTATTGCCCAGTACAGATCACGCAGTCTGCATAGAGCAGGGGTCCTAAATCAGTGATTAAACTGGACTGCAGGCCTCAGCTCTCCTGAGATCAGGAAGGTTGGGCAAGCCTCCTTTCCTTCTGCTTTCTCAAACAGGAAATCTACACAACACAAGATGCTGTAATAAAGCCCTTTGGTATAAGAGATTAACATTTGCTTACAGACTGATCCAGTCCCTCTCTAAGGAGACAAAAGTTAGAAGAAACATAGGAGAAAAAAATATGCAGGCACAAAATAGACTTGATGTGTCATTAAGGCATTTTAGTCACGGAAGGAAAGCAGGGGCTGGCCAGCAGCACCACATGACCCCATTGCTGCAAGCTGAGCTCCTGGGTGAATTCACTCACCAGTGCCCCACCTGACTTTGTGCTCCTTATTTCATTAATGGAGAAATGGGGGCAGCAGCAAATATATCAGAAGAGTTCATTTTTCTTCCTGACTATTCTATGACCTAGAACCCATAGGCTGATCTATTAAGGAGGATAGACTAAGGGATAGACTTCTGTTCAGAAGGGAAGAGACAAGGGAGAATAAGACGCCATGTCTCAGTATCATTCCTACAACAGATTTCTCCTCCCCTTGTCACCCAGCCTCACAGCTGGGAGCCTCCACCCATCCCAGGCCTCCACACTCACAGGCTCCAGGACAGGGCTGACCAGGAAGGCTGGACCCAACAGGAACTGACTGTCAATATCCCAGGTCTCCCGGTCAGTCACAAACCTGAAACAGAGCATGAAGGTGTTGTCAGAGCTCCATCACCCCTAGTAAAATGCTCAAGTTGAAGCCCAAGTCCAAAGTCCAGCCACAGCTCCTGCCGTTTTATTCCCCCAGCTTCAGGAGGGTCAGATCCTCACTTTCTGGAAATATTGCTGCCTCCAATGGCAGCAATATCTTAGACATTTTCTCCTACAAACTATCTTCATAGCTCCTCACCATAACACATTTTTTCCTTGTAGCATTTTTGTATTAGCTTATTCATTGTACGATCATGTGTCAGTTCAGAACTGCCATACATGTACTTTCCTGTCCTGCTCTTTCTTGCCATTTTAGTGGGTTTTCTTATTAAATTCAATACAGCCTTACAAAGCACTCATTCACCTGCCGTCACCTTCTCCTTTGACCCCCACCCCACCCTTCCTGCTGCTTTGCCAAGGCACAGCAATCACCCTTCAATTTCACATTGGTTTCGGGGATTATATTTTCCCACCCTTTTAAATTTATATCATTTTTAGAACGATACTTTTTTACTTTTCTTTTTGTGAAAATACCATACAGAGGGGTTACAATTACATGGGCAAGGTAATGAGTACATTTCTTATCAAGCGGGCAAGGTGATGAGTACATTTCTTATAAAGCATTGTAGCCTCCTCCTTTGTTTCCCCTTCCCATCCCTCCTCCCGTCACTCCACCCTCCCCTCCCCCTGCCAAAGTTGTAAAGTTCATTTTTTGACATAACATCTTATAGATCTCATTGTTGCAATGGGTCCACCTGTATCCCTATTTAAACAATTTATTTTTTCCCTTCTCCTCCACAAATTATACCAACAACAAATACAGTGAAAACAGGGGTTATATTACTGTGGGAGAGGGAGCTACAAAGCAACAAAGAAATATCTTATAAATATGTTAGAAACAATAGTAGGAAAGAAAAGACATTTGAGTCCTTATCTTGGGGTTCATTTTGCCTAACATCAACTTATCTGACCATTTCTGCTTGTTTCAGACATATACTAGTTATTGCAAATAAGGGAAAGCATGGGACCTATATTTCTTATATTTTTTACTGTATTTTTGTCATTTATGTTTTAGTGCTGGGGATCAAGCCAAGGATGCTGCACTTGCTAGGCAAGTGCTTTGCCACTCAGCTACATCCTGACCTAGAACTACATATTTTTTGACATTTATATTTTATTAGAACTATATTTTTATATGAGAGAAAACATGCAATATTAGTCTTTCTGAAACTAGTGTATTTTACTTAATACGTTGATTTCCAATTCTACCCATTTTCCAGATAATAACATAATTTCATTCCATCTTCCCCAAAATTCTCTCATTTCTGTCTCCCATGTAGCTGTTATTACAGGCATATACCAGCATGCTCAATTACATTTTCCTATATTACTATGTTTTCAAGTCTCTCCGCTAGGTTTCCTGGAATAGTATCACAGTTTCAGGCTTTACATTAAGATCCCTCATCCATTTTGAGCAGATTAATATCATTTGATAGGGATTTAGTCTCAGGTTTATAGGTATAGATATACAGTTTTCCAAACACCATTTGTTAGAGTCTTATCTTTTCTGGGTCATCTATTCTATTCCAGGTCTAAATATCAGTTCATATGTTTGTACCAAGCTGTATGTGTTACTATAGTTTTGTAAAACACTTTCAAGTCAGAATTGCTCTTTTTTTTCCTTTTCTCCCTCTCCCCGCCCCCCCTTCAGCCCCCGGCATAGGGCTTGAACTCTGGGCCAGGGAACAGTCCCCGACCTCATCAGATCAAGGAAAGTGCTCTAAAACTTGAGCCACATTGCCACTTCCAATTTCTGGTGTTTAATTGGAGATAAGAGTCTCACAGACTTGCCTTGCCCAGGCTTGCTTTGAACCATGATCCTTAGATCTCAGCTTCTTGAGTAGCTATAATTACAGGTGTGAGCCACTGGCACAGGGCTTTTTGCATTTCTCTAGTTGTTTGGGGACCTTCCTGCCTTCATATGCATTTTCAGGATAACTGGGGTACTCTGAGGATGTCCCTGGAGCTCTGAGAGTATTACACTGAATCTGCAGAGTATTTGTGCCAGCAAAGGCATTTTCACAAAATGCTTCTCTCTGTCCACGAGCAGGGGAGGCCTTTCCCTTGCCTAGCCCTTTGTGCAGTTTCCTTTTCCAGTGGTTTATCATTTTCAGCATTCACCCTCCTTGGCCAAGTCTCTTCTTAGGAAGTTTATCTGAGTGCACATGTTCAACATAACATTGGTCTCATCATTCTGATCTGGCCCTGGAATGCCTTCCTTCATGACCAGACCACGTTCTCGTCTGGATCCACATAACCAACCTGACAGGAAGGGCTACAGAAGATAGAAAGGGTCTCTCATGGCTATGTGAAAGATAAATTGTTCTGTGCTGCATTTTATCTGTCAATAATTAACCACTGAATAAACAGCCTTGTATCCATAACATTTTCTGTTATTGTCTCTGCCTGAAGTGCTAATGATTGAAGAACCATATTTCCAATTTGGAAGAAAGGTTTGCATCTCCTTCAACGCTACACATTGCCCAGTGCTCAGCAGGATTCCCGCTCGACACTCACTCATGGAGGAGAGGCCGCACCACAGTGACGCCCTCCGTGTTGGCCTTGTGCATCAATGTGTAGAGATATGGCAGCAGGGTGTATCTGGTCTCTAGGACACTCCTGGAAAGATCCACAAAGGCAGCATCCCAGGACACAGGGTCTTGTCTCTAAAGGACAAAGAGAAGAATGTTCTGTACTTGCTGTGGGAAACCAATGGGACTTAGTGAAATCATTGCTGGAATTCATTTCCTATCAGCCACACACAACTAAACTAAAGATAAATGGGGATGACACTTCTTAAGAGGACATTATTAATAGCTCAAGGCTCACCAAAGCTCTGTCTACAGAAGGAAAAACTTCCCCATAATGGACTCTTGGAGTATGTGGGAGATGATTTCTTCTAAAGGAAGGAATCATCCTTTCAATACTGAGGACTATGATTCCTGAGATGAGGCTAGAGGACTTCGAGGATGTCCCCAGAGAATACACACTGCATGAGCTGCGCCTTGGGGTTCATGTGCCACAAAGCAGGGAGAGGAGAGCAGACGTCCTACCCTGGTCCCGATGGTGTTGTGGTTCCTGGAGAAGGGGTAGAAGGCCCCCAGCTGCATCCAGCGAGCACACATCTCATACTCCGCATCTTGAAAGAACCCACAGATGTCTGCCCCTGTCTGAAACAAGAACAACACAACGAGCCTCCTGCACAGTTCTCAGAGATGTGCCATCTCCGTGTCCATCAAGAGGAGCCAAGGTCACTTACATAGGACATGCCAAAGAGGCTGAACTCCATCATGCCTGCAAGGAGAAGCACAGCTGGGTCAGGCCAGGCTCTCCTGACCTGCCTCCTCCTCCTCCTCCCTCACCAGGCTCCTAACCCCTGCCCTGGGGAGGGCAGAGCCCTGGGAGCAAAGCCACACACCAATGATAGATTTCTTCAGCTGGTCCCAGGCAGCGGTGTTGTCTCCCAGCCAGTGTCCTGCCCAGCGTCCGGAAGAAGGGAATGTGGAGCGGGTGATGACGATGCTTCTCTGCCCTGTCACCTCCTGCATGGCCCTGGTTGGAGGAAGCAGGGGGAGAACTGAGGCCGGAGCAGGCTTCAGAGCACCTGCATCCTCTTTCCTCACTCCTGTCCTGGGAACTTGGATCAAAGCCATGCTGCTGTCTGAATGGAGAGCATGTATTTCCCTCTGGTTGAGGGAGATATTCAGAGAAGACTGCCATTTCAGTGTTTCATGAAAAGTTCATCATGCAATAAACCACTGCCATGGTGTAAAAGACAAAGCCACCCTGTATTGACACAACACTCAGTCTTCCATGCCAATCGAGAAAATGAGACTGGCTGATGGAGGGATTCCAGAATAGAAAGTGGAAAGGATTGCAAGGGTTAGAATTAACCTTTCTGTCCTTTTTACTGAACATAAAGCTCTGACCCCAGAGACTTCTGAGAAATGTGAAGCCCCACATCTTCACACTTTTTCCTCAAGACAGAAACCTAATAGTGAACTCTTCCCAGACCTATTAGGGTGCATACCCCATAGAAAGCCTACTGCAGTGCTACTATCAACACCCAGCTAGTTCCTGCAGAGCAGCAGTTCATGAGTGCAGTGCGCACTCTGTAGTTTGAATCTCTTTTCCTTTTTGAAGACCCACAGCCTAAAGACTGGAATTGTCAGATAAGAATCTAACAACAGCATCCTCAAATAAGAATCTTGGGGTAAAAGAGAAATCAGAACTCAATAACTAAGGCACCAATAAAAATTACAGCAACAAAAATTTGAATCAAAAGTATAATCCCAAAGCCTACCTCTGACTCATTGTATGTAGAAAAATGTCTTTTCACACCCACACTCTTACCAGTTACATGCATATTCTCCTACATGTAATGATCTTAAGTAAAGCAGGTCCTAAAATTAGTTTCTTATGGAGGACTCAAGGATTCTGTCTCTCCTACTGGAAGCTTGAGCCACCCCCTCCCCGATCTTGTCTTTGAGACCTCCATGGTATTCCACCAGTCAGTCACAGAATAAACCAAATGTCCTTCTAATTTTTTCCATAGGGCAATTGGCATTACTGTACTGGAAAGAATGTCTAGCATATACTATGAAATAAATAGAGATAATTAGCTATTGAAGTGAAACATTATTGTCTAGCCCATCCAATTCCTGTGTTCACACTAAGGTAAGTAACACATTGAATATAATGACATTAATTAATATCTACATGTACCACCATGTATATTAAATAATAATTGGTGTATCACTGTGCATACATCAATCCATCATCAGGACTGTCAGTCCTTCACTGATGCAAGCATGCCTTTTTAACACAAGCACCTCATTCCTCAGTCATGTATTATTTATTGAAAGAACAAAAATTACCACATTGATGTCACTCATCTCTGGTGGGCTCTTAGAATGGGGTTTGCAAGGTTAAGTAGGGAAGCTGTCCCCATCACTGTTTCTATCCTCAGGCCCAGCTGGAGAAGGGAGACACAACTCACTCGTAGGTGGGTCTGGTCTGGGACCAGCCATACAGGCTGTGGACGTCGTAGTGCCGCACCCGCGAGCCGTCTTGGAGGATCTGCTCGCTCTCCATGCACAGGGTCTTGCTGCTCAGGCCTCTGTCCCTGCCTGCCAAATCTAAGGGGCATGGGGAGGAAACACAGAGCTGATATTTACCAACATGAAAATGTCTTTATGGACCTTAAGGCTAACTTCACTTCTGAATGGCCTCTGCCTCACCAGTCACATTACAGTGCACTTGGTAAGTTGCGCTGGTGCTCCAGGTATTTTCCATATCAACACAACTGGAAAAAGTACTGATGTCAGAGCCTTTTCATGCATTTACTATAGAGCAGGCCCTGATCCAGGCCTTTTGGGAGGAAGAGGAAGGCAGGTCATGGGGCATGAATTCTGGGCCTGGGTGCTATCCCACAGCTTCTTTTGCTTAAGGCTAGTGCTCTACCACTTGTGCAACAGCTGCAATTCTGGCTTTTCAAGTAGTTAATAGGAGATAAGAGTCTCATGTACTTTCCTACCCAGGTTGGATTTGAACAACTATCCTCAGATCTCAACGTCTAGGGTAGCTCGGATTATAGGCATCAGCCTGTAATCTTTATAACTCTTATGAAAATCGCCACAGACTATAAAGGGTTATCTATATCTTACATTTAGAAAGTTAAGACTTGGAAATAATGCAAAGTTCATGAAATTTCTCACAAGTCAAAGAAAATAAATGAAATGGAGACATAGAAGCACAAGGGTAACTACATAGTCCAAAGGTCTTATGATAAGGGCAATCAGCTTCATCATACCCACTGATGGCAAAAGACATTCCTGTGGATAAACTAATATAGGTCTGAGAAACTAAGAACTCTAGCTATGAAAATCATTTAGCGATACAGAAAATACAGCCGTTATAGCCAACATACACTATGTAAAAGCTGAACTATGTAACTTGAGGCCAGAATAGACAGAACTAGGGGAGAACTATAGAAGGGTGACATTGAACATGCATTGCACCTCTGGAATTGAAACCCCTTTGGACAACTACTACATATAATAAAGAGCTTTTTGGCCCAATTCCAGAAATTCTCTAATAAACTGTACACATGCCATGAATGAATGCCCTGTATGTGCTATTTACTGGCCCCCAGTAAACCAGAGTTCTATAAGGACTGGCCCTCAGTGGTCAGGCTAAACCTCTGCAGGTTGGGGTTGGGCAGAATTTGTCTAGCCATGTCTTGGCTGATTAAGGAGGCCCCGGGTCCTTACGTGGCATGTAGGGAGGCCGGTTCAGAGTTGTATCCCTGCAGCCAGGAGCAACTGCCCCGTTCACGAAGCTCGAAGGTTCATTCATATCCTACAAATGTCACACACACACACATATACACATATACATGGTGTAGTTATAAAAATAATAACACTATGTCAACTCAATAGTGGATAAATAATTTCACCATCTCACAGTTCCAGGTGATGCTGGCCAGAGAGGATCATCACATGAAGGAAAAATTTAGATAAAAATAGCAATTCACCTCTACCTACCAACTGCCCAAGAGTGTTATATAAAAAGATTCCCTGCAGTGCAGGCAGAGTTCCAATAAATTGGTAGTAAATCACCCTAGGTATTTCACAGCAGAAATTTATGCCTTATACAACTGCACAGTATAAAGAGTCTCTGGGCTGATTTGGGAAAAGTACAGTCTGAGATGTCCAAAAGCTTTCTTGAAGGAATGTTAGTGTCTTGACTAAGGTCAGTGATCCCTATGCAGGTCGAGGTTCACACAACAGCTAACCGTGTGTACACAGACAAGCACCCTGCACTCACAATCCACATGCCATCAAACTTCAAGCTCTTCTCTGGACTCTGTGGATTGGTGTAGAGCTCTTCCATTTCCCTCTTCCACCACAGAGCAGTCGAGTTCCGGAAAAAGTCTGGGAAGGCCACATAAGCTCTGTATTGCTATGAAAATAAAACACAATTCTTTTGTTCCAGACCAAGTCCACAAGACAGCAAACAGGAGAAGTACTGAAATCTTTAACTCATGCTAATACTTGCACAGCATGGGGGTAGCGAGTGTGAGAGATAGTCTGAATGGCTCCTTTATAATATAAAGTTTTTAGTTTACTGCAAAAAAGAAGTAGAAAGAAGAGAGATAAGCACAAACTATACATCCTTTATGCATTTGGAAAACATATATGGACTTTTTCTCCTCCGCATACATGCACGAATGGTGATAACCAATTCACTGAACTGATGGTCCTAGCCTTAAAGCTTGATCCTCAACTGTCCTCTCACTTCCCAAGGACTTTACAGAAACAAAGGAGCAAGGGACAGACTACAGCTAGCAGGGTCAGACTTCAGATGCACTGTGCAAGTTTGGGAAGAATCATCCAGTTGCTATCCCCTCTAGGAAATAGGTGTCAGTAAAGCTCCAGTTGACGATATGGCTCTCTTTGCAGACATCGGTTCTGGCTACTTTCAGGATCCCACGAAACCCTAGTTGTGTGTAAGGAGAAAGTTTCAGCCTTCCTTTCTCTTCCTCTTTCCTCAAATAATAAAACAAACGTCTACATCATACCATCAAAGTGGAATGCAAAGTCTCATTCCTTCACTACATTGAAACTGTTTTGAGAACAAGAACTTTAATTTATATTCTCTATTTTCTTTGTCAAAGTTGAACTGAAGTCATCAAGCCCTTGCTCAGATTTTTCACTTATGGCTGCCATGTACCATTTGATCTACACTTCTTGGTTTTTGCTGGATAATTGGAGACAAGAGTCACACAAGTTTGTCTACACAAGCTGGGTTCATACTTCAATTCTAAAATCTCAGACTCCTGAGTAGCTATAGGTACAAGCCACTGGCACCCACCTTCATAAAGATTGTATCATTAATCTCCATATCCATTCTAGGCTTACTTTACAGCCTGGTAACTAACAAGTTAATGAGAATGAACACTAGTTATATACTTGGTCATATTAATAATAATGTAATAATAAGAAACAAAGGTTCAGGCATGCATTCACACCATCATACAACAGCAAACATAAAAAAAGCCTTTCTGCTACTCCATGTTTCTTCATTTAGAAGATGATGGTCCTTGGTGTGCGCAGTAAATGCCTTTTCCTGGGTGGATCTCTGTGTTTTAACAATCAATGAGCTATTTGTGTTTGCTGAATCATTTTGCTACTAGAAAATTAAGACCTTTTCATTGTATGTATTAAAATGCCTTTTATTAACACCTTTAAATTAAAACACTTTCAAATTTAAAAAAAAGAATCAATGAGCTAAAAAAAAACTGGTGGCATGGGTAGATAGAATGTCAGAGAGAAAACCAGGATTGAGAGACTGTAGCCTTTCACAAACCAGACCAACTTATCTTGCTGTGCTGAGCACACAGAGACCAGCTTCATCCCTTCAGACTTGGCAGGTGCCCTAAAATAAGGTTTTGTTTAATTTCCTAGCTACACTGTCCAGGTGACCAAAGCAACCTATGCTGTGCCAAATATCCTGTCTATTAATTGTAATTGTTGAAGAGGTAAGAGTAAGACAAGGTACTTGCTCTCTATAAGAATTTCCATCACAACCCTGAGAACCTAGCTCACGGGAACTCATAGAACATTTGATAGCAAAGCAAACATGTGTTGAATAAGTCCAAATGCATTAGTTCACAGGGTCCACATCTAAGCCAAATGATAAAACCAAAGTTATCCTGGACAACATATTCATTCAAACAAGCTATCAGAATGGGTGAAAAATGAGATCCAACGTCACGAGCTACCTCTGTCTATCACAAGCAAAATTTTAATAGAAGCCTCAAAACTAAGTGGCCAAAATATATCTAGAAACTTAAGACCAGATAAAACTTGGGACCATAATTTATCATTGTGGACATGGATCTATTTCTCCAAAAGTTTAAGAAGTAAAGAATGGACTGGGAAGATGGCTCAGTGGTAGAGTGCTTGCCTCATACACATGAGGCCCTGGGTTTGATTCCTCAGCACCACTTAAGCAGAAAAAAGCCAGAAGTGGCACTGTGGATCAAGTGGTAGGGAGCTAGCCTGAGCTATATTGCTAGGGGACAGCACCCAGGCTCAGAGTTCAGCCTCCAGGACCAAACGAAAATAAATAAATGAAAAAAAACCTCAATCACTAAGGCAGACATTAGGTAATACTCCTCAAGGGTTATTCATGGCCACCACAACAACCACAAGAACAAGAATAATTTAGAGAAAAGATAAGACTTCTTGAAGTTCTCATGGCCTTTGAAATCTGGCAGCCTTGGATTTGAATTCACTCTTGCATTGCTGACATCAGGGAGGAGTAATCCAACTCCCCAGAGCTTCAGCCAAAGACAAGAATGCTTACGTCTCAGTTGTAAGCAGAGCATTGTTGTATGTAGTCATTACCACACAGACTGACTTGCCTTCCCTTCTTGATAACTGTGATTTCAGTCATTATTCACAAAAACATCTTACCTCCACTTGGCTGTCCCAGTCCAGAGAACTGTTAACCACAATATTAGGGAAATCTGGCCAGACCTAAGTACAGAAAAAAGTTCAAAAGCAATGCACCAAACACTTTCCTATACAGAGTATTCCCTAAGAAGTCACAAACCATGGGCCTAGGGACCATGTAATTTGTTTAGTATGTATAGTTTATCTAAATCAAAGTGGATTGCACAGAGCCTTTAATAAACACATAGCGATTGAAGTATGAAAACTACAGATCTAAGATAAGATCTCAAGTGAAAAAGGACAATATACATGAGGAAAAGATATACTAACATTGTCCCCACCCCAGGAGAGGTGTTAGTGGATCACTCCTTAGATCATACCTTGCCCCAGACAATTCCTCCATCATTGGGAAACCTGATGAAGACATCATCCTCCACACCACGAGTGAAGGCAGGATAGGGCTCTGTCTCATTGCCAGAAATGGCTGGGTCCTGAAACCAAAGCACGAGTCAGACAGAAAGACACATGCAGAGAATGGCCAGGGACACAACACAGCTCTTCCAAACACAACTTCCTTACATTATACTTGAAATTTAAAGTGACTGAGATGCTGCTAAATGCCTTTTCCATCCAACTTCAACCTTTCCTTGTGTACCATGGAAGGAAACACAGTGTGGGCCTTCCCCACCCATTCCCCTTCATCCTCCCAGAGGCCACAGATTCCCACGGGCTCTGACCAGAATGAGGATGACCCGCATGCCAGCGGCCTTCATGCGATCGATCAGGGCGGGCAACCCAGAGAACTTGGGGCTGAGGGTGAAGTCCAGCTGCCGCTCCATGTAGTCGATGTCCGAGTACTGCACGTCCTGGGGGAGGACACAGGGGACTGAGTGATGGCTGGGGCCTCAAGGCCAGGATCCCAGGAGAATGACTCTCCACCACCCGTGCCCAACTCCACATGGCTTCTGACTAAAACTCTGGTTCTCTGTTCTTTGTTATCTACTGAAAGCTGGAAATACACATAATTTTTCCAAAATTTATAAAATAAGAAAAAGTCTGTATTTCAGAAAAAAATAGGTTGAAGATACCTATTTACTGGGGCTCTTCTGTGTGTGAGTAAAAAACTACTGGCTCAGAGCTCAGGCCCGTTCAAGGCCAACCTCAGCAAAAAGTTCTCTAGACCATTCTCAGTCACTTCCTGGGCACAGCAGTAAGCACCTGCCAGCTACTCAGGAGACTGAGATCAAGAAAAACCTGGTTCACTGACATATAGGACAAAAAAGTCATGACATATAGTTCAGTGCAGAAGCTGAGCAAAGTGGCACTGTCATCTCAGTTATGGAAGGCAAAACACAATAGGAGGGTTATAGCACAGGGGTTTTGCCCAGGTGTGAGCCTGGGCAAAAAGCAAGTCTCTGTCTCAAGGAAACCACTGTAAAATATGGCTAGAGGCATAGTTCGGTTGTCTATACCCTAGAAAGCTAGAGGCTCAGACATCAAACTCAAATACTACAGAAAAAAAAGGAAAAGAAAACACACTGTGTGGGAAAGTACTAGATAATCTGCCAATATAAGCAATGAGGGAACGTAGTGGTTGCCCACAAGAGGCTGTCCAGGATTCAGTGGTCAAGAGAAAAACAAATTCAAAAAAGGAACTTCACTCTTCAGTCCTAATATTAGATAGCAACTCTGTTCAAAATCAAAGAAACAAAAGGACAAGCATTACTGTGAAATACCCCCTCTTAGTAATCACACATAGCTTCCTCACTACCAGTGATACATTGTTTGATGTACTAGCATGAATGTAACTTATTTTAAGTAATAGAATAAATTTAAAAATAAAAGTAGGCTTGGGGTAAGTTTAGATTACTGGACTACTCTTGTCCTCAGTGAATGATAGAACTTGCTTCCATGGAAACCCAGGATCCTGCATTCAGCCAGCGAGTGGCACAGAGCTCATGGAACTGTGCTGCAGTGCTCACAACGTGCGGACTGAAGACCTACCTGCATGTACAATGGGCTAAGTGTATTTCAGATCATTTGTTTTTAATCAAGCAAAATGACTGCTGGAAGGATCCTTTCTTCTTAGGGCACCCTGGTTTTGGACTACACGTCTTCAAGTTATATAAATTAAATGGAAGGAAACATGACAGAGGGGAAAAGGCTGTGGGGGCTGTCCCTTTCTCTGCATGGCGGGTCTTTGATCTCCTAGTGTCATAGGGTGGGAAACAGCCCACACAATTCCTAAGACAAGTTCAAGGTCATTGTGGCATCATGTGAGAAGGTACTTCCTGTTCTTGTAGAAACTCACAAATGCCCTACAAAGTAATTGGGGCCCAGACACAGCCAGGTTCCCTATGAGAATACAGACTATGGTATACACCATGGCGTATACATACATAGGGGATCTGTGCGGCCACCATCTCATCATACAAGCTGGAGATCTCAGCATCATTCTCGTATCCATAGCGACACAGCTGGAACCCCAGGGACCAGTAAGGCACCATGACAGGCCGGCCAATCACCTGGAAATTAGATTAAAAATGAATTCTTAAAATGAAATTCCTGATGGAAGTCTTCCATGAAATAAAAACAATATTGTCCAGTGCCCCTGCCTAGACAAACAAAACCTGCAAATCCAGAGGACCATTGAAGGGAAGCACAGCTCTAGAATACCATGGGGGAAAGTCTGCTGCTAGATTCGAGCTCATGCATCAGGAATCTAGAAAACTGGCTTTTGCTCTGGTTCCTAGATGCAGACAGAAGGATTAATGAGGAGCACAGAATTCAGAAGAAAAATGCATTGCCTAATATACACATTCCATTGTCTGCTAGCTCTGTGAACAAGGGAAAAATTAAATAACCAATTATGCTTCTTTCTTCACCTGCAGTTTGAGTTTGATCTAAATGTCCATATCATCATGACTTTACAAGAATGGAATGACTTCATCTCTGTGAAGTTACTAAATGTGCTCTGACATGGACCAAGTAACAGACTCAGTGGTCATTCCACATTTGTTATGTGAATCACCATTACCATCACCACCATCACCTCACACCATAACCACTGCAGCCATCATTGCCTATCAACAGTACCACCATCACCACCATGAAAACCATAACTTCAAGTCACCCCAACCATCATTGTCAGTAGTCTATCATTTCCATGATAAACACTACTCTCATCATCATGCCAAGAATCACCTTCTCCATCATCACCATCACCACCTCCATTACTCCAACAACACTATGACCAGGACTACTTTTGCTATCCTGCAATAATTAGAGGCTATGAATCTAATGACTAGTTCTATTTATTGTTTCCTATTTATAATATATCTATCCCTGAAAAAAATCCATCAACTTGTATTATCACAATGAGAGGTAGAAAAATGAACGATGCGGGGCTGGGCAGGTGGCTCAGGGATAGAATGCTTGCCTTACATGCATGAGGCCCTGGATTCAATTCCTTGGTACCACATAAGCAGAAAAAGCCAGAAGTAGCACTGTGGCTCAAGTGGTAGAACACTAGCCTTGAGCTGAAGAGCTGAGGGACAGTGCCCAGGCCCAGAGTTCAGGCCTCACAAGTGATAAAAAAAATGAAAAATGCATTTGGAACCCAGTATTGCTGCATAAGCACTTGACAGACAAGGGAATTCACACGTACCTCAGTGTATTGCTGAGTGACAAGCTCAGGAGTTGGCCCCAAGAACACATAAAAGTCCAGGACTCCCCCTGTGGTGCGGTATGTCAGGGCCGGCATGGGCTGGAAAGTCACATCTGAAAATAGAGGGAAAGGTGAACTGAGCTGCCTGCGAAGCTTCAGCATGGGAAGAGAGCAGCCCTGAGCACTGTGCCTTCTCTCCTCATTGCACACTATTAAGACATGATTTTCTCTACACAACTGACAGAATGAAGCAGAGTTCGATCCATGAATACTTTCCTTTGCAGTTGCCTTATATCTGAGATGTTTTTGTCACTCTGTTCCTTGAACATAATTCTTATGGTTCTTTTTGTGTGTTAGTAAGGCCTTAGCACTTATTAGGGAAGGCATCTGACAACTGAGCCCAAAACCTTTGTCTTCTTACACTGGATCATGCTTTCTGTTTGGACATGTGCCTTGACTGCGATCCACCTATTTACATTTCCCAACACAGCTGGAATTACAGGTACATTCTATCAAGCCCAACTTCTTCCACTGAGGTAGAATATAATAGACATTTTTGCCTGCATTGGCTTGGAACTGTGATTCTCCTCATTTTAATCTTCCATGTAGCAAGGCATGACCACCTGCATGTGGCTTCATATACCCTTTTTAGTTCAACATTCTCCAGAACTTCAGAAACTTTAAAGATTATGTTGTGTTTCCATGTCTATTTCACACAGCATCCCCAAATGAGAACACCTTGTACAATCAGGTATATTGTAAAAATCATGAATAAAACACAACTCACTCAGGTATGCATTGTGTCAGGTTTCATTCATTTTACATACATGGTTTTTCTAACTCTTAATTTTATTCCTCTCCAATGTAAAGGCAAATTTCCTTCAGACCATCATAACCAGAAAGTGCTCCAACAATAATGGCAAATTCATTCAAATTGTACACCGAGCTCCTCGGGTGACTTTCAAGGTGTAATGGACTCTTGGTTTATAACCTCTATTGGTTTTGCTATCTCTTCCTATGTGACTATTACAAAACTAAGTGTATCATTGAATCCTTTCAATGTTAGGGTCCCAAACAAAAGGATAAACAGAAAAAAACTCTCCCATCATGATAATGTTGATTTCATTGCCACTGGGTCACAAAATATTATCCCAAAACAATTCAAGTATAACTAGCTCTTAGATCAGGGGAAGAAGCAGCGTGAGCCTACCCATGGCATTGCTGTTGAGCAGGAGCACTCCGTGGGCACTGCCGTCCTCCTCCAGGCCCAGGTAGTACGGGTGGACGCCATAGGAATTCTTCTTGTACTGAGAGTCATGGGGAGAAGTGGGTAGAGTGAGAAGACATTGCATCTGAGAAGGAACGTCAACAAAAACTCACGGGCCTACATTCTCCTGCAACTAACTTCAACACATGAGGGCAAAGGAGCTGGAGGAATGGTCCCCAGGACAGAAGCAGAAGGGGATGATTCACTGCAGTCAGGGAAGAGGAAGCACAGAGGTACCCATAGGGCTTCACAGGCATGCAGTGTGGGTGCAGCAAAGTGAGTGTAGACTCTGCAAATGCTCTGTCCTTACCCCCGGGGGTTCGTCTCTGGAGAACATGCCCCACGTGTGCCAGTTCAAGTCTCTCCTATAGGCCGTGTGCTCCGTTTCCCCAAAGCCATAGATGTACTGGGAGGGGAGGCGGGTGGAGATGCGGATGAACATGTCATTGAAGGTGAAGCCCAGGACCTGAGAGTCCCAGCTGCAAGGCAAAGACCAAGGTGGACAAGGAAGTGAGCTCCCCTGGACTTCCGGCAGCTGACTTCTCAAGCTATGCCACCTAAGTTCTTCCCCATCTCCCAGAAACCCAACATCTGACGTAGGTCCACAATGAGGTTTCTAAAGGCACCTTACTTTTCCTGTACTTCCTTCTTCAGTGATTTTCATGGAAACAGCTTTTAATGCCTGCAAGGCTGTCACTGAGGAGAGGCCTCACTGATACCTCCGTCCTATTTTGCACCCTCACACTGAGACCCCAGCTCCATTTTGCACACAAAGGAATAGTACAGTGCCAAGCTTCTGCCTGCAAGAGCTTACTTACTTACTACTTGCTTATTCTATCACCAATGCTCTTCCCCCATCCCCACAAGCTCAAATGGATGGTCACTTTTCATCCAAGTTCTAATCCATGTTCTCTCATTCTGATGTAAGTGGGGCCCTAAGAATGAGTTTCCTCCAGCAAATTGCATGTGGGAGTGAGGATGGGCCAACCCCCAGGAGACACATGCATACTTCTTGGCTTTTGTGTCATCTTTTCTGTAAGTTGTGACTCAGCAGGGACAAACTGGGACTTGTTTTGCTTCCACAGTTATGGCGAAAACTGTCCATGAATCTCAGTCTCTGTCTCTCTGTCTTTGTCTTTTACTGTCTCTCTCTCTTTCTCATACCCCCCACATTCACACACAGGGATATACATATAAATGCATACATATACATATGAATATATAAATTGCTTCTCCTAATGAAGACGATATCAAGAGTTAGGATGGAGGATCAATTCTCAAATATTCTTTTTCCATCACAGTGTTTAAACAGTTCCCCAAGCACACGCACACGTGCACACACAAACACACACACACACACAGAGAAACTCTTACTCTACTCTTTCCCCTAACACTACACATCACCTTAACATCTTTGCTTCTCTTATATAATTTAAACTACCTTTTTCATGAGGAGAGACATCTCTTCTGACTATACCCACAGTACCTTAAACAGCACCCAATCCACAGCAGGCATCCATAAATATTTGTTGAAGGAATTCCTAGTTACCAGAACTGCCTGAGTAGGTTCTAAGTACAAAGATTGCCCAAAAACACACCTAAAGGGCATAGCTTAGCGGTGGGTCTGGCATGCACAGGGGTAATCTCTCACACAGTGCATCTCCAACCACGGAGGCCCTGGCAGGGATGTTCATGTAACCTCCAGTCCCCAATCCAACCAGGGCCACTTACATGACAGTGCCTGTACTCTTGCGGCGAATTTCAATCCCAAATGGATTCTCCTTAATGAGAACCTCATAGAGTCGGGCCTCAGAAGAGCTGGATGGAGTGCTGGGGATGTTCAGAGGGACTGGGACTTCATAACGGCTGTTGCTGGGATCATAAATCTAAGTCAGAGGAAAGTGATTTTAGCAGATCATGCAGAGAGGGTACATACATTCTGCTGTTGTATCAGACATAGGGAAATCACACGTAATAATATTGTATCATGTAACTCAAAATAGCCATGAAATACGAATTACAATCTTTTTAATCACAAGAAAGTATAGCTATTCAAGCTGATGGGAAAATTAAGCAAGTTCTCCAGTTCACAATATGTAAGTGTGCTAAGACAATGCAATACAAACCAAAAAGAAGCATGAGTGTTATCTGTGAATTCAAAATTTTATGCAAAATTAGATCTTGAAATGTATACCATAGCAGAGCTTTGTCAGCATTGGAGCAAACAGAGATGCTATATCTTTTCTTTAAGCTCTTAAAGAACAACTTTAAATCCAAAACTTTGAATTGAGCCTATCAGATCTCATATATGAAGAGCCTTATTACAGTAACACAGTTACTTTGACTTTGGTACTTGCATGAAAGGCATTCAAAAGCCAGTGGGGAAGTTATCAATGTATTCCTTATTATTCCATATGTGTGCATATGAGTGTCTGTGAAACTTTTACAGAATTGGAAAGAAAAATCAGAAACATGAACTTTTTATAATTAAGTTCATCATAGTTGTCTATGCTGATAATAACATATAAATGTATTCCCTATATCTCTTTTGGTGCTGCATTAGGTGCTACTGGTGTAAACATAGTAGACCAAGGTTATTCATTCCCTCCAGAGAATGAAATATGATTACATCCCTTCAGTAAGGTGGACTAATGGTCAACTACAAAGAAGTATTGTAAGATTATAGGAAAGGTGATACCAGCCACAATATCTGAGAGAAAATTAATTGCATGGGAGAAATAGAATCTTAGCATAAAGAGCTATGTAGTCATTAACAAAGTACAGATATCAAGTCATTCTAGCAATGCATTTATCAATACAATGATGTACAGTGCTTAAGAGGGTTGAGAAAGGTACAAATGTAAGTGTGCATACATATATATATATGTATATATGTATGTATATATATATAGTTGTGTGGTTAACTAGTGAGTACACTGGACTTAAGGCTGGAAATCTAAGTAACTTGATTCATTTCATGTATTAGGTATATCCCACCTGCTAAGTTGACACCAAATAAAAGCATAGCATTGAAAGGTGGAAAAGAACTCATCATTGTCCTGGATATAATTGTTAAGAACCTTATAGGCAAGTTTATACTGTTATACTCTTTCATTTATTCTCTCAGCAAACATTGCAGGGCTTACTGTCTACTGGCATGGTGTTAAGTGAGAAGCACAAGAAGTGGACAAATCCCTTGTTCTGGAGAATAACAGAGAAAATGTCACAACAAAGCTAGCCCAGTCCTGGTGCTAAGGGTAATGACACCATGGAAGGGAAAACAGCACTGAGCTTGAGTGGAATGTCAAGGAAAACTCCAATCCAGACCCTGTTTACCCAACTGATAAGTTCCATGCATTCCCATCGCATACTATCCAGTTTCTCCACTTAGTTGACGTCCCCACCATTCACACAGATGAGAAACAGAGACAAACAGCCCTCGCTCTTCAATTTTCCTTCTTATCCTATGTGATTAGTCTCCAGATCTTCTCAGCCCAAAACAAGTCCATTCTTCTCCACCTCCTTTCCTGTACCTACATGACCTCTATCCTTCACTCCATCAACCTACCAAGTAGCCTACCTCCTTCTCTCCCCACTTCTTTGATATCTGATTCCATAAGACTATCCTATTCTTAATTCACTTTAGGAAACCGGTGCTGCTCTTCCAAGGGCTTCTCATTGCTCTTCATATTAACAGAATGGTTGACTCTTTTGTTGCATGGAACTTTACAGAGTTAGCTTATATTAGGATGACAAATTACTGACTACATAGAGACAGGAAAGGAAGACCATTGGGTGTTCTCTCAGATGTAACTATGCTTACCTTGAACTGCAGCATTTCATTCTTGTGGTAGGTCACGAGCAGGCGCAGGGGGCTCACAGGTGTGGAGGGGAAGGCAGTGACATAAGGAGAAGACTTCAAGGAGATGTCAGCTGTGGCCCCATGGGAGTTATACTGCACATTGCTGACTGAATACAGATCGTTCACAAAGTAGCAGTGTGGGACCCCAGGGATACTGGATGCCTGAGAAGGACAGTCAAGAGTGTGCATCAGCATGTGGGCCTACCGGTATCAAGTAGCAAGGGCTAGGAAAGGCCATCCCATCATTCCTGGACCTTGTTTCCTTTAGATAGTGCCAAGAATTTACATTTCTATATTAAGAAAATGTTTATGTAAAATGCCCCACTCTTTTCTCTTCCTGTCTTCACATCTGGATGAGGTGTCTTGGGGAGCCCTTTCTTCACATGGATTCTAAGTGGATACTGAGGTACTGGTGTTTGCTCATGCGTTACAGGTGAGGTGCAGAGCTGTCAGGGAAGGGTCACGTTGTCAGTGCAGTTACCTCCCAGACGCAGCCTCGGGCCATGCAGCTGGCCTCAGTAGCTCCATGCTCATCGGGATAACAGTCTATCTTCTCCTGGTCCTTTATGCCGATGTCCCACTCTACTGTGTATGCTTCTCCCAGGACCAGACGGATGCCTGTGATCACAGCGACCTGTGGAAATGGAGAAGCCACATGGAAATATGTGCATGGGACACAGGCCTTCCAGCATGTGAGTCCTTACAATGAGACCAGACCCTCAACAATGTGCAGGAAATATTCCAAAACATTCAGGCAGAGTGGTCAGTCAATACAGGGCGACTATTCAGTATGGGGTAGCAACAGGCTAATATCAGTACTCCACACATTGTACATTACATTGTGCACATAGAAAGTCCAAATAAACTTTTTAATTGTCCCTTTGTCTACCTTCCTGACTTTTCTCCTGCTTCTTTATATTTTTTCAGATTGACTCTGTTCTTTTTCTCTACATGTTTCTACTACTCTTGTCCCTTTCTCCACAAATCAGTTTTCTCCAATCATCTGAAATAGTAGAAAGACAGCAAAAAGAATTATATAGTCTTTTTGCAATTCCCTTCCTATTTCTCTTTTTCTATGGAGTATTTAAACAAATTATATGAATAATTCAGATTTCAGATTCATAAACTGCAAAAACATTGAATTTGAAAAAAAAACTCTTTATATTTCCTCCAATTTCTAACATCTGTGTCATTACTCAATCTCCCACTATTGTTTAAAATGGGAAAATATTTTTAATTGAATCCACACATTTGTTTAAATATCATCTGTATTTTTTACCTTCTATCATTTTCTCTCTTTTTTGAGGTGATAGGAAAGGAATTCAGGGCCTGTGCTTGTGCTATATAAACATTTCTATCCCAAAGGTACTTTGATGTGACAAGCAGCAGAATTTTTTTCCCTTGTTTTTCTTTTTTTTTATTGTGAAAATACCATACAGAGGGGTTACAATTACATGGGCAAGGTAATGAGTACATTTCTTATCGAGCATTGTTGAATTTCCTCTTCTGTTTTTCCTTTTATTTGTTTTTGATATATGGTCTCATGAATTTTGCCCTACATGATCTCCACTCTCCATCCCTCTTCCTTCACCACCCCACTAGGTGGCATTACAGATACATGCCACCACTATTACACTCTACGACTCTTTAAATAGCACTCTCCAGAGGACACTAGGATGCCTGGAAGAATTCTTGAAAAACTACCCAACCACATGAGTCTTACCCTCAGGTTAGGATCATAAGTGGCTTTAGGAGACATGGGAGCAAGGACACCATTCTGTTTCACTGTGATGTTGCTCAGTGCCTGAGTCCCAAAGATTTTAATCTGCTCGAATGCTAAGTTATTGGGGTCTTTGTAGGTTGCTTTGGAAATAGCCACATCCAGGTGGGTCTGCAAAACAGTGAAGCATAATTAGGCATGAAATTGGATCTCCAGTATTCATATTCTCTTGTCTCTCCAACACTTCACCAGAGACCACATACTCCTCAGGCTCTGATGCTCCTGTACTCTCTATCAATATGTGCACAGTGACAGAGAACTTATTTTAATAAACCTCTGAGGAAAATAAATTAAAAATAGCGAACAGAACTGAATCACACATCGTCTGTTTTTATTTGTCCATATTATTGCCTCCTTTGGATAACAGTGACAAGAAAATTATTGAAAATTACATCATAAATGGAAATATGCTCACCTATAGTCATTTATGCAAATGAAATTAGAAACATAATTACAGGAAGTGCTAAATCCTAACACCCAAGGTTCCTGAAAATGGGCTACTCACCTGGCTGGCCGTAAACTCACATAAAATGTAAACATCATTGGCCACAGTATCTGAAAATAATAAAAAGACAAGTCAGACTGGCCTGCCAACATAGGAAGCTGAGTTTCACTTGCTTCTTCTTAGAGCTACTTGATGTCACAAGTAGCAGAATATCCTTCCTCTTAAATGACTGAAAATATTCAATTGCATCTTCCTACCTCCACTTCTTTGTTCCCTCATCTGCCAGTGGACACTAACATGTGCTGTTATTTGAAAAATGCTCCAAAGAACAGGAGATTGGAGACTTATAGGGTGTGTTGTTTGCATTTGATACACAAAGACTATTTCAGTATTTCAGGAAAGCTCTGCACTGTTTTCCACAATGGCTGTGCCAATTTACTACCTACCACAGCATCTGAATGTAGTTCCATTTACTCCACACACTCTCCCTCCTTTGCTGCCTCCTGTCTCTTGATAACAACCATCCTAACGGATGTGATGTGACATGCTATTGTAATTTTTAAATTTGAATAATTCTGCTGATTTGTGGTGTCCCAGACAGTTTCATATACCCATTAGCAAGTTTTGTCTTTGGAAAAAGCCTATTTACACCTTTTGCCTAATTTTAAACCAGATTATATAGTCACACAATATAGAGTTACAAAAGCTCTTTATGCATTTTTAATAAGTCTCCTATTAGGTATGTAATTTATACATATTTTATCCCATGCTATGGTTAACACAGTACTTCACTGAATATATTATGATGTGCAGAAAATTTCTAATTTGACGAAGTGCTAGTTTATGAATTTTTACCTTTGTTAATTCGTTTGTTTTTATTTGTTGGTTTTTGGTCAGTCGTGGGGCCTAAACTCTGGACCTGGGCACTGTCCATCAGCTTTTCAGTTCAAGGCTAGCACTCTAACACTTGGGCCACTGTACCACTTCTGGCTTTTTTGCTTAATGTGGTGCTGAGGAATTGAACCAAGGACCTCATGCATGCAAGGCAAGCGCTCTACCACTGAGCCACCTTCTAAGCCCCATTGTTAACTACTTTTTGTGTCAAATCCAAGATAAAAAATTACAAGCAGGGCCAACATCAAAGAACTGTTGCTCTACATATTCCTCTAGGAGGTTTGTTATCAGCCCTTACTCCAACATCTGTAGCTCACTTCTTGTAAGAATATAAAGATAGAGACCTCCGAAGTATCAATGGATAAGGAATGTGCGGCACAAGTACCCGATGGACTATTTTGTCCATAAGAAAGGTGGAAATCCTAGCCAGGCACAAATGTCTCACTCCTGTAATCCTAGCTGCTCAGGAGGCTGGGATCTGAATATTGAACTTCACAACCAATTGAAACAGGGAAGTGCATAAGACTCTTAGCTCCAATTAACCAGAAAAAGCCAAAAGTGGAGCTGTGGCTCAAGTGGCAGAGCACTAACCCAGAAGCTCCTCAGTCGCTGAATGGAGCAGGAAAATATGGTATGTATAAACACTGGAAATCTATGTTTACATCAGAAAGAATGCCATTGCCCCATTGATAAAGAAACTGAAAGACTTGGAAAAAGTTATACTAAACTGAGAAAGCAGGATCCAAAGAAATATAGGCTGCATGGTTGCCCTAATTTGTAATAATTAGAATGAGCTCATAAATCTACAAGTAAACCAAATGGATAGCAAAAGACAAATAATTACACATGGATAGGATTAATTGAACAGTAGTCACATAAGGAGAACAAAGGAGGATATTGTTAGGAGAGGATCGCAAAGGCTCAATTGCTCTGTGCATATGATCCTAAAAAATGATGATTGTGGAAATGAACTCCAAGAAGTAGAAACAAGAGATACTTAAAATTGTACCATTGTCAGTTTTTCTTTTCATTTTGATTTGGTTTATTTCCTATTGTTTCTGTTTTTTTATTTCTGTGCCGTTTGTCTTATATATCAATTTACCTGATTTGGAGGCAAACAGGAAGCACAGAAAGGGTGGGGAAAAGGGAGAACCAATTCAGGAATGATACTCACTAGACACTATGTTGGAAATGAACTGAAAACTTGGGGGGAAGGAAGGTGGAGAGGAAAAACATTGAAAGAAAATGACATAGGGGTGGTTAAAAAAGAAATGTACTCAATACTGACTTATGTACAGTTAAAAAAGAAAGTACTCAGTACTGACTTTTGTAACTGTGACCCGTCCATACATCACCTTTACGATAACATTTTTAAAGAAAGGCAAAGGACAGCTCCCATACCCTGAGTTAAAGTTCTAGTACAAGCCCGTGCACAAACACAAACACTCACACACACACACACACACACACGGCATTCGCCTGAGTTGGAACTGGAACATGTTCTACAAGGGAAATAAGAGAGACATTGAAAAATGTACCTTATGATCTCATTTATAACACAACCTAAAAAAACCATTCAACTTAAATAAGTTAAGAGGATAGAACAATGGTGGCCTGGGGCAGGGGTTGGGAGACATAGAGAGATGTTAATAAGTGTATATGTTAACTACTTTGATCATGAGAAATCATAATACAATGTATGTGTATAGGTTATTCCCTTTGACTATGTTCAATTTATGTCAATTAAATAATTTAAAATAAAATAACAAGCTTTTTAAGAAAGTCCCATCTTGAAATAAATACCAATATAGAAAGAATATCCAAGGACAATCTACCATTTCCCTTCTCCCATCGTTATGTACTTGAAATACTTTCAAGATTATGTCCCGTAAGATTCGACTGCCAACCAAGGCAGAGCCACAGGAACTGTTACTGTGACAGGGCAAGAACATGTGCAGAACCATGGCCAGATGCACACCAGGAAGAATGTGCATCCTCACTGGCTCACTCAGATGGGGATGCTTCCGATGCCTTCATATGCTGCCCATTTGCTCCTAGCTTTCTTGGGGAAGATATTTACGGATCAGTGAAAGGAGTGCCTATGACAGATCCAAGTTGGTGCAGAATTCTAAGTCCGTCTATTACTTCTTCAACACTACAACTAGAGAGCAAACTCTTCTATCAAGAACTGACCACTGCACCTGCAGAGATTTCTCCAACGGCTGATTAGCCAGCAGGAAGGAAGGGCCAACGATGCAGGTTTGAAATAGGCAATGCGCCCATAACAACACTCACCCTTTGACTGCCCATCATCCCAGAAAAGTTCGCCTCTGGCTTCATTGTTCCCATCCAGGGCAATGATAAGACCAAGAGCGTTCTGGCGGCTGCAGGAGACAAGATTCATGTGAGAGACACTAAGATGGCAGCAAAAAACACTGCCTTAGGTTTCCTTCAAATTTCATTTGGGAAAGATAGCGCCAGCATAAGGTATTGCTTTACTTTAGGGACAAAGACCAGTGTCTCTTATTGAATAATGTCACAGGACAAAACACAATCCAATATGTGAGAATGAGTATCCACACAGGCAGCAAGAACATGAGCACCAGAATCACGACAGTAAAAATCAATATCAGAATATTAACCCCCCTCCAAAATAAATCACCACTGTAGTTACAGTAAAAGCTATGTCCACAAACATACACATGCTTAAATGTCAAAGGTCATTTAAAGATTTATGACATCACTATCAGATGATACAAATTTATCAATATAGGTAAATGGCCATGAGCCCCTGACAGGAAACATATAAGGGGCATATGTGTCTGTCCCATGATGTTCCATATGACTCTGTGGGTCACAGATTCCCTACCGCTGATTTAGGACATGGACTACAAGAGGATATGAAAATCCTAAACAATAATGGCGCAGCCAGCTCGATTTAGGGATGACGTCCACAGCAGTAGCAACTGATCCCAGGAACAAATTCACGTAGACTGCAACACAGTTATACAAAACTATATCATAGTAATTTGCTTTATGTGATTGCATATATGGTTTTGATGGGAAGACAGCACATCCTAATAACTGACATTATAATTGGGAGTAGAAAGTACAAGACACGACTCAAACAGGTCATCTCTAAAGGAAGAAGACCCACATTTAAGTCCTTAACATCATATTGGAAACAAAAGTTCATCAGTTATTCCAGATAATAAGGCAAGATGAAGGAAAGTCACACAAAGAAGTCACAACCGATTTGTGTTGCCCAAAGGACCACAAGTGACATTTGTAAGCATAGCGTGTAACAACTATCACTGACATTTTTAGCAATATTAAGAAGAGAAATTGAAGTATGGAGAAAATGCATGAATATAATTTAAATAACTGGAAGAAAGAAACGGAAGTATTCCTACTACTGGAAGAGTGGAGACTTTTTTGGAGGGAATTGGAGTGTAACTTGGATCACTGAAAATGCACCAGGGTTCACTCCTTTACAAAAAATAAAATCAACAAAAATCAAAATGAATGAAATCCAATTGGATTGAGCCATGCCTGGTCTGGTGCACACCTGAAAGCACAGGTCAGCTGACTATAGAGACAGCAGCACAGCCATGGTTAGGCCAGTACTATTCACATGTCCAGCTACAGACTCTGCCTAAGTCAGCAGCAGCAGATGAATGGAGAGAAAAAAGACTTCATGCATACAATAGAGTTCTATTTGCAGATATCTCTCTGAAGTCAAGTAACTGAGGGTCTACATTATAAGGAATGGTATCAGTCAGACATGGAGCCTAGATATGTTCATCTTCTTATAGCCATAGAACAGTAAGACACCAAGCCTTGGAGAGCCTTTATTTGCTCATCTTTGACATGGAGACATTACAGATTCTGAAGCAAATGTTTTTTGTTGTTATTAAAGAAAAAGTCTCCATATAAAATGGCCATTGCTGGCAAAATTCAGACACAGAACAAGTATTCATTTGATCTCATTAATTGCTAATTATTATGAAGGCCTAGATCAGTCATTACACATCATTTATAAGAGGATTATCAATGCAATATGAAAACTGCCATATAGCATAAACAAAGGTTTGATCCTATGTTTTGGGACAAGTATGATTCAGATAGACTTCTGAAGCACCCTGAACATGAGTGCCTGTCTGTTGAATTTTGATTCAAATGACACTTCTTAGATCAATCATTAAATTCACATCTA